AACTTCAAAATTTAGGCTCATAAATTATATCATGTAATCAATTTTTTAAACTTAATAAGAGTTATACGGAACTAAATTTATTAACTTAAAATCAACAATAAAATAATAGATAAACTGAAATATTCAAACTATTTATATTACAGTCAAATAATAATGAGAAACTATTCCAAACAATCACATAAGTAATCATCCATATTTTCAGCTTGGCTTTGAATAAATGCCTTTACTCTTTCTCACTTTTTTTTTTAGCTCCAGACGCACATTTAAGAGCCAAAGTATAGTGGTATTTGACTCAACCGAAAACACTAAATGAAATTTGAGTGTAAGAAGAAGCTCAAATTAGTTTAAGACATAAAGATTAAAATAGAATGTTTTTGTCAAAGCATTGTCCACGTATAATATATACATGAAAATGTTTTCATTCACTTTCCCGTATATCCAAAGCACAGATTCACATTCAATAAAAGATTTCCCGAGGAAAAAAAAGTCAAATCCTTAAATAACAGATTGTTGAATATCATCAAAATCCATTCCAATTATCACAATCAGCTTTAAAAATCCTTTTATGTAGTATTTTCTTTGCATTCCAGTCTAAATATTCATGGAAAGTTCCTAAAATCTCTAAAATTTTATAAAAATTCATTTATATATTTATATCTTCACTTTTTTTCTCCAAAATCCATGTCTCCATCATCACTCTAAACCTATAAATCAATTACTTATCAAAGGTAATTTTTTTTATTCTGTCATAGCGCCTCAGAACCCTTCACATTGCATAGCAGTTGGATTATTGCCAAACAAAGTAAAACAAGCATTATTTTAGATGTAACCTAAATTTAATTTACTTGATTAATGGTTTAATCACAAAATCAAAATGAGCGTAAAGAATTCTATCATTTATCCTATTAATATAATTTTTGTATACCAATTATTATGGCCCAGGTTCAGTTAATTTTTAAGTCAAAATATATGCAGTATGCCCAATGAGAAGAGAAAAATAGAAAGAAAAGGAAAAGGAACACCTAACCCTACACATGTTAAACTCCATTTATGAGATTGACACTTTCATAAAAGGTTGAGAACCAGTGCACAAGACAGAGACAGAAATTGAGAGGAGATAACTTTAATTTAAGCTAAAAAGTGGCTTAAAAAGCATAATATTTTTTTACGCCCCCATATAGCTGGGCCAGAGGTAGCAGCCTCTTGGGCTTCACCTTAGGTCTGGCTCTAACTTTACATGCTTAAAAGGGAAAAAATAATAGTAAGGAGCTCATGAATAAATACATATATTTGACAAATAAATTTGATCAATGTATTTGAAAAATAATTTGCAATCCTTAAAATAAATCAATCTAATATTGTAAAAAAAAAAAAAAACCAGATAAAAAAAAATTAATAAAAAATTAGTCCCTATTTGAGCTCCATCGAGTGTTCTTTTAGAGAAAAATGTATTTTGACATAATATTAAGAATGTATTGTTAGAAAAGAAAAGAAATTTTTAAATTTACGTGTAATATTATTTTATTGAAGAATATGTTGTAAAAATCATGAAATGGAAAAATGCAATTTGGATAAAATAGAACCCAAACAAGAACTTAATCGCCTTTTCATCCACCCCAACGAATCCACCAACACCGCCACCATCTCCCCCTTTACATCGTTGCCATCACTACTTTATTCAAGGAGAGAAATCACCCCTTATGAATATGCAAAATCAATTCTACATCTAATGGATACGTTTGGGACGATAGTGTGTTGAGACCAATGTTTTGAAAATCGATCCGATATCGACTCGAAAAAAGTTAAGGGTCAAGGGTCAAAAGGTTCAACCGGGGTCGAACCGAGATCAAGCCAAATGCAATAAATACATACAAAAATAATAAAATACTATGAAAACAATATTTTTTTAAAAAAAATTCATATTAATATTTTGTTAATTAAATTCATTATTCTATAATTTGTTAATATTTTTGTTATGCCACTATCCCAAATTGAAAGTTTATGAAATTATTGGAGAGAAGTGCATCTATAAAATGCACTATCTCACATTGGAAGTTTATAAAACCATTTGAGAGAGGTGCATCTATAAAAGGAGCACGTCACTCATATTTCTCTATGGGCTTTTGAATTGTTATTTATGAGGGTCCACTCATAAAATTGAAAACTTTTAAACTTAAAAAAGGGGGGGGGGGGGGGGGAATGAGGGTCCACTCATAAAGTTGAAAACTTTTAAACTTATAAAAAAAAGGGGGGGGAAACACAAATCGCGACCAATTTACCAATTTACGATTAAATCAGCCGCTTCAGTGGATTTTTAAGCAATTTAGTGATAAGCGATTAACCGGGCATGATTAGCTCGATTTTAGACCCGATTCTCAGTTTTACCAGTTGAAGCAGTCGGACTGAGCCAATTTTGATAACATTGGTTGAGACATAAACACAAGACGATTAAACGCTTGGAACCATTTGAAGTACTTCTTGATTTTAAATTTTAATGCAATAAATTGCTTATTGTATAGCCCAGTTAGTACGGATTAAATTAAAATTTTAATATAAATTAAAGTTAACAATTAATTTAGGATAATATTATTCAATATTTTTAATGTTTAACATTAATCTAGGTGATATCATGTGTCACTAAATTATAGGTTCAATTAAATACTCTCTCCATCCCATTTTGTTTTTTTATATGCCCTAAGGTTGAAAATATCATAAAAATCTTTAAAAAGAGGAATTCTTTAATTACGAGAAATCATGAATTGAATTCATTATAAGATCTATTTAGTTTTTTTTAGAAGATGACATGCCGTCACTCGGACTCGAACCAAGATGGAGGAAGACATCCTAGGGATAAAAGATATAAGGCTAAAGAGAGAGCCAAAAAAAGGATCTTTAGTGTATTATCCGTATAAAGTTATGCCAGATCTTTCCTGAAACATAACCCAAGATCAGATCTTCATTATCTAACCAAACCCGGAACATACCATTGGGAAGCGATTCAATAATTAAACCTTCATGAATCACCATTGGGAAGCGATTCAATAATTAAACCTTCATGAATCAATTTTTGTCCTTTCATTCCTGGTAAAGCCTTCTTGAAGTATCAACTAATGGAGGAGGAACAATTGATTAAGAAATTTTATTTAATGTTATAAAAAACAATTTTTGCAAAGAATTTTCGTATTTTACCCATATTTAATTATCAACTAGTAGTAAATAAAGTGAAAAATGTGTGTATGTATTTGGATCATTTCAAAACTATAAATTAAAATATGTATAATTTTAAGATTAAGGAAATGAATTGATTATAACTAGGTAAATTATATAAAAGTATATTGGTAAGCGAACGAAACAAATACTTTCTTATTAAATAAATATGATTATATAAATAGAATAAGAATATAAGGAAAGTCAGCTTGTATAAATAAAATGGAGAGAGTACTCATTTATTATGACCTATCACAATGCTTAAATTATTGATGTTTTAACTTTATGATGCTAAAAAGTATTATTCTTAATTTTAACCATTTCATAAATTTTTATTAGAATTTATTCAGAATTTGATTTTAATATGTCAGGTACAAGACAATGAGGGGATAACCTTGAATTATTTGACTTTTGTGTTTGTTGGGGACAGCCTATCCTATTATACAGTTGTCTTTGATATATATATATATATATAATTTTTATTTATTTTTTTTTTATTTTTTATTTTTTGGGCCCGCTCATATTAGCCCATACATCCTCTAACTTTTACATTTTTGCTCCCACAATCATACTTTGTTAAGTCAAATATAAATTGTAATGATTTAGAGTTTTGCTATGATTACAGAATCGTTTCACAGAATTCTTTCTAAAAAATACACATGGCAATAAATCATTGAAAGATGAGAAAAAAAAAAAAAAAAAAAAAAAGGTCAAGACGAATAAGTTGACACCACAATGGCACCTGTAAGGATTCCGTGATTATTTCCTGTACTTGAGATTAATTCAAAGGTTTAATAGTTAGTAGAATCTGTTATCTCAAAATTAATACCCTAATAAATAATTTTTTATATATGTTTCATATTCACGTTCTATTATCCATTTTCCTGGAAATTCTTTAATTTGTTGATTTTCCACTTCAAATATATATTATTTTTTGAAGTAAATGTTTAACAAATTAATAACATCTGTCAATTAATAAATTATTGTTCAACAAATCGTAGTCGAACAATTTTTTTAATTAACACTCTCTACTTCATAGAATTTAGAACTACTAATAACTTATGATTCACATTCTTTTCTTTTTCTTTTCTTTTTTTTTTAATTAACAGCTTAAAATCACTTTCCAAAAGACAATGAAACTTATAATTTATGCTTATTCGAGCAACACTAACCAGTAATGCTGGCAAGGTCACAATAGTGTTTTCTTGGGAGAAGTAGTGGATTTAATAAAATGTATAGATAATAAAAAATTGTGAATGTGTGAAAGAAATTAATATTTATTTTTGACTTTAAACTATAATTATTGCCAAACATGGTACTTGATGGAATGCTTTTTGAATGCAGAAAAAATATATAAATATCGACGACATTAATTTTTATTTTTCTTTCTTTTATTTTTAATCACACATTGTATGCTTATTCGAGCAACACTAACCAGTAATGCTGGCAAGGTCACAATAGTGTTTTCTTGGGAGAAGTAGTGGATTTAATAAAATGTATAGATAATAAAAAATTGTGAATGTGTGAAAGAAATTAATATTTATTTTTGACTTTAAACTATAATTATTGCCAAACATGGTACTTGATGGAATGCTTTTTGAATGCAGAAAAAATATATAAATATCGACGACATTAATTTTTATTTTTCTTTCTTTTATTTTTAATCACACATTGTTTTATAAAATAATATTAAACGTAAATCGAAAACTTTTTCATTTCTTTTAAATCAGTCATTTTACCATTTCACACGTTATCATTTGGGTCAAACGGAGCTAAGAGGGAAAGAAAGAAAAGATAAGATTTTCTTTTCTACTGTTGTGTCTATTGGTCCGAATGTTGGAAGCATGGAGGCAAAAAGCAAAGGATGAGAATGGCGGCACAATTAAAACAACCTTACCCTTCTTCGTTAAAACCCATAAATTTCTCTCATTTCCGTAAACAAAGAAAAAATACCCGAGAATTATACTTTTAGGGCCTTCGAATTCCATTAACAACTTTTTTGGAGTGGTTTTCTAGTTCTGCAAAAAAATTGGTCTTAAAAGGGTTATGGAAAACAGTGTTAACGGTGGTTGGCCCAGTTGGAAGCACGGCGGAGACGGCGGTTCAGTGGTTGCAAGAAAATTGCAGACCTATAACATCTTTTCTCCTTGTGAGACCAATAGCAGCGTCACAGCCACCGCCTTCAAATCCGCAGGTAATTACATCACTCTTTCTTTGTGCTAAATCAAAAGGTGATTTTCCTTTGTTGTTGTGTGAGCCCAGGTGGGAATGAATTGGCTGCAAATATGGGGAATCCTTTCACATCTGCTCAAAGGAAGGAGCTTGAAAGGCAAGCAATGATTTATAACTATTTGATGGCCTCTATTCCTGTGCCTGCTGATCTTCTCTTTCCTGCACCACCTAGCCCTTCAATTTCCTGTAAAGTGGCTTTCTTTTTCTTCAATGATTTGTTCTTTTTTACACCTTTGGTACTCGATTAGATGTGGATTTTGAACAGATGTTTCTTGATATTGGTGTTTTGAGTGCAGCGACTGGTCATCTAGAAAGGTGCAAGCGAACGGATGGCAAGAAATGGAGGTGCTCAAGAGATGTGGTGCCCAATCACAAGTACTGTGAACGCCACCTGCAGAAAAGCCGTCCCCGTTCAAGAAAGCCTGTGGAAGTCAAAAACCAGAAGAAAAACCCTCTTTTGTTTAATCCTAAAACTGATCCAAGTATTTCTACATCCTCTAGTAAGAAATATGAAAGGTTGGTTTTTTGTATAGTTGCACTAGTTTGTGTTTAAACATTGATTTGTGTTTCTGTTTGGGTGTTTACTGATTTTGGCTAATGATCGAAGGGGTTTGGGGTCGATCGAAGGTGGAATGGATGCAGGGCAAAAATGGCAGCATTTGGTGGACGCCAGCATTGGATTCGGGGATGAGGGTTCGATTTATAGTTCTATTGCCTCTGTTTTTCATCGAGATTATGTACAACAGCAGCCATTGAATATGTTCCAAGCCTCGGAAGATGTTTTCAAGTGTATTAGAGGCGGTGAATCTAACATTGGAGCATTCTATAATCCTGATTTGGTGTTTTTGGACAAACAGCCACGGGGACTCATTGATGAAAATGGATATTTTGAATCCTCTGTTTCATCTGAGCATGGGAACCTCTCCACATGTTCACTCGATCTATCAATGGTTATGGGTGCTGGAAACGTCTTGGATGAAGAAATGAGAGAGAATCAAGAGGAGTTTGGTGTTGAGGATTCAAGATTGTTAAGACCTGTTTCTTGGATGTCTTTTGCACAAGGTGGACCGCTTGCTGAGGCTTTACGACCTGGATCTGTTGCTGGAGGCGGAGGCTCAATTCCGGGTTCTCCATATGATTCAATAAGCACCACAGCAACTACTGTCTCATCGCCATCTGGTGTTCTTCATTGGACATTGCTCTCACACTCTGATAGCAGTGTTTGCAATAGCCCGACTACCCTTGCAGCAGCTACTGCACCATCTCAGAAACCAGCAAAATTCCTTGAAAATTGACTCTCCTTGATTTTGGGCATTTTGATCTTTTCGACACTCTATTGCCTTCTTTACTTGGTATGAGAATTCAAATGCTCTCAATGGATTTAGATATCAAATGATGAATTCCTTTTGCAAACTTAAATGAATGCATGGTGTAGAGGAGTTATTGAGTGTTCTAAATTTTAATCAAATTTTAGTGTTACTCGGGATGACCTCTGGACTTCAATTCTCCCTTCTTCAGTGCACCTAAAATAAAATGTACTATTTTTAGACCAGACAATAAACAAACATCTCAAATGAATCATCTTAGAATGGGGTCTCAAAACATTGGACCTGAGAGACTGTTCATAACCTTAAATAGCCTAGCCTTATTGAATTCCCATTTCGCGAATGGTATCACAACTGGATATTGCTAGTAATAGAAGTTTGAATAAATGCACGAATTTGGCTTGATAGGCTCAAACTGTAGGCTTGCCTTAAATATTTTAACCGAATGCTCGATACAAACCAAGGTGATGCCAATGGGATGAATATGATGCTGTATTTTGCCACGAAGTTGTGCTGATTTCATCAGCTTTTGTGTAGCTAACAAAATTTGTATTTACCACTTAAAAGTTAAATTTTCTTTATAACATTAGAATCATTGTAATATTGAGAATTCTGGATGAAATAAATGAGTGTAACATATAATGAAAAAGAACCACCTATTAAGAAGACTGTTCAGCAATCATCACTCAGTTGATTCTCAATACTCCATAAATTATTTGAGCCACGAGCAACACAACACAACTCAAAAAAAGGAGAAAATAGAGAAATCCTCCTATTTGCCACTTCTCTCAGTGCATACTTTTTCAGCAGTTAATCCTCGTCTTCCCATGACCATAGCTATTTTTCTTCTGTACATATATAATGAACAAAAGCATCAGCAAAATAAAATACCATCATTAAATCCTGTCAAATATATAACAGTTAAATGGGATTAAATTTGATTTAAAATTAAAGAAGAATAGAAATTAGGAATATTTTACCTGTACATAATGTTGTATCCGTTCGGGAGGGGGATCTACTTTGGATAGATTATATTTTATTTGAAGTGGATCGCCCTCCATGTGAGGGGGTGAATACCAGTATGGACACCCTGATGTATGTGTAGCATCCCTGGAAATTAATATGCAAAGTCTGATTCTTGGTGCTATTATCCAACAAAATAATCCAAATAGTCCTATAATACAGCTGATTATATTTCATCTAAACCAATCAAGGTAACAGGTACAAGAAATAAACAGAGATTTAAATATTCCTTGTTTCCATATAACTATATTCTCAAATTTTCAACCAAACGGAACATAAATAAATACATAAAGGTATCACCGTCAGAGCAAGCATGCTGATGCATTACAAAAACCTTACTATAATACCCAAAGTGCGCTGCAGCTGCAGCATGTGGCAGGGCACCACCAATATGTGATGGCTACCAGCCTACCACCACAGTTTTCAGCGAGCGAAGGTTTCCTCGGCCATCACTTCAATTTCAAGAGCATTTCCTCTAGACCCCTTGTCCACTCTGAAACCCATCTTCTCCATCACCCCCACAATTCATTCTCTCACCTGGATTATTACTAAGCTGAACTGCCTTGACATTCAACATTCTCTCTGAAGTTGGCAGGATAGTAAGCCTTGTAACTAACCTTATTTCCACTTTCAACATAGTCAAAGGAGCATGAAAAGGTTAGATCTGGATACTTGTTCACGGGTTCTTTAATCCAATCTCAACAAACTTTACCTAGACAATTTGAATTTAAAACTGGCATCTCCTACCATGCAAGTAGATTCATTTCACACCAGCAGCTGAGTGGCACTACCAGTGGAGACCGAGCAGCCAAGCATTGCCTAATAAGATAGAGATGTGCCTTTTGGACAGAGGACTGATTTCACCACATGTTCCTGAATGCTGATGGCAAACTCAATTCTACGAATAAACATGTGATACACCAGTGGAGTAACTGCATGACCGAATCACATTGACACACGCAGCAGAAAAAATGGACATTTTTGGTTGGCAAATTAACCAATTTCAATAAGTTAATATATATCTACCATGTAATAATTTTTGTGGTGGAAAACTTAAATTTACACTGGAGTTGGTGAGAGCAAAAAATCTGGCTGTAATCTTTGTAGAAGTATTCCACAAAAAGGACAGTATGGTAGAGATGATCCTACAGATGAAGGCCTGAGAAAAGATTGCAAATCTGAAAGATATCCAGGCATTGTGAATAGATCTCGAGGAGTCAACTTTGAAGCCCATCGTTGACAACATACACAAAACCATAAGGGGGTAGTGGGGCAACAACGCATAGTAACAGCACAGCGCACAAGTTTATGGCTCTGGCCTACCCTATTACTACCCTTAACTCCCAAACAAAATGCAAATTCTGTCGATTCAAATGGAACAATTGCTGAACAGTAACTGCATCGCTCTTCCAGTTCACATCCACAAATGTCCTTTAGTCTCCTGTTGTAGATAACAAATATATAAGTTGATTAGAAACCACAAAAACAGCTAATAAAAAAGGTTGGAATTGCAAGAGTCACACCAAGAGCCTACAACCTGAAATTGTGTCTTAAAATATTAAGTTGCATGAAAGGAGTTCCAGCTTTAACATGTAACAAGCAATGACCAAACATTTGCATTCACTCGTATTAGATTGGCAAGATTGGAGATGTCAAATATTAGCAGATGAAAATATTGCTGATATTATTATTGATACTTTTTCCACACAATGTCTTGAAGAAAACGGAAGTTCAAAAGAAGAAATCTATGAGAATTACCTCTTGTCATATTTTCCAACTTCTGCTACAAGAAACTTAAGATAATCCTTCACATATTTATAATTACGTGAAACCCACTGCTCCATCTGTGCTGATCCAATAGGACTCCAGCATCCAACTTTAGAAGAATCCATTTTTGAATTGGACAGTAGACTTAAAATGGCAGAAAAGGTGAGACTAACGAGCCTTTCTTGCAGTTCCCTTTCACTGTTCGAGAGCAATTCCATCCATAACTTTAACTGTTCTTCTTCAGCACAACTTAACCCTTCTAATTCCTGTTCTTGCCCACCGTTCTTGTCTGCATTTAGCTCTTTAAGTACCACATGCCTGCTGATAATGTTCAAATGATGTAACTGGCGAGATGAAAGCTTGGAAAGAGATTTAGAGGCTTCAAGCAAAAATGTTGTAGGAGTGTCAAACTGGGATCTGAAGTAAGATGTCAACCATTTGTGTAAGACATGCTCCACGAACTTGGGTATGGACTGTTTAAAGGCCAGGAGTGCTCCCACAATATCCCAAAGAACCAGTGGGTTATCCAGATATTCAGAGTGACGCAGAGACCATAACATATTTCTTTCCCACCATATTAGCTCTTCCTCAGGGAAACCAGGAAAAGCATCAACTTCAAAATCTGGACATACATCAGCGAAAATGTCCAACTGCTGTCCTCCAATCCAAAGAAACTCGACAGCAGCTTTCTGAGTCCTGAGATAGATACAATAGTAGCAATGCTTTAGAAGCACAATACAGGCAAAAATCAGATTGAACTAGTAGCTATACGAATGTATAGTTCAACAAAATCCTGTTGCATTTGTCCTTGGTGAATTACTGATTAACATGCTTTTTCCTTAGCGAAATACTCATATATCCTATATTATAGACGGGAAACTTATGCTACGGACGGAATAAAGGTTTCCCTGTAAGAATATCAACAAATGTGCACACACGGAGAGCAGGGGCAGGAGGGAGTAGTGAACAGTGGGAATTTTCCACCAGGGCAGAGGTAGGGACTTTACAGAGTAATTGGCTTATGGATGTCTCGTGATTATGAAGCAATATATCATTAATATACATGTTTTGATAAACCACGTGGGATTTCCCACACGTACCCTCCAATTAGCACACTGCCTGGGGTCCTGCATCCTCTTAGTCTTTCCTCAGCAATATTCTTCATCAGCAAAAAGACGGCACCAGATTAGAACCCCCGAAAGAACAAAAAATTACCAAACAATAGCAATGTACTTTTGGGCTGCTCAGCTTTAACTAGGTCAAGAAATTTTATGACAAAAAATCCAGAATTTTAAATCAGACCACTCATATCCTAGGGATGGCAACCAAACCCCCCCCCCCCCCAAGGATTTTCACCCCTTGCCTTGCAACAATCCCAGCATAAGGCAGGGAAGGTACGCTATGCCCTGTTTACTGCCCCTTCTTTCTTGTGTTCTTTAAATACAGTCAATTTTTTTAAGAAAACTACAAATGTCCTCTTCATTTAAATGCTCAATCTTAACAATAAATGCGGCAACACCGTGACATATAATAGCTAACACTCGAGTAGCTCAACCTGAGCTCATTAAATGTGAAATGTACTTGTTCTAACAAGACAACTAAACAAGAACCTGTTCAGGCAATGATTCAAAATTATATGCACAGAGCACAGAATCTCTATGACTAAATCAATCTTTCGAAAAAATAAATACAAACAATCATAACTAAAAGAGTTTAAACAGACCAGAACAAAGCAATCAATCAAATTGTTTAAGAAACAACTACAATAGAATATGTTTAAGAACATCAACCACAATACAAATTGTCAAATTACTCTTATCTTACATCTTCATTCATCTCCTAGAGTATTTATACGAGATTCGATGAAAGATGATTAATGTGTAAAAAAAAAAAAAATAATATATATATATATATATATCAAATGTAATCATAATATTTCCAGATTTTAAACAATTGAATAAATAATAATTTTATGAATGAATTTTTCATTAAAAGAAAATTCAATTTACCTCATCACTGAACCTTCTGAAACACAGTGTAGAACGTCATAAAATAAAACAAATTAGTTACAAAAATAACAAATACGAAATATAAAAAATTATATTTCTTTTACAACAAAACTAGTTTTATTTTACGGTTAGAACATTCTTCACCTTAGTCATGGTCTACAAACATTATAATAATTTGTAGTGTAAATTCTACTGGGGTCTTTAGCCTATGAATGTTTCAGTATTAGGGTCCCATACTTTTAAAACATAGCACAGTTGCAAACCTTTGAAATGTTTGCCCCCACGTCATGTTTAGATGGAAATCATCATTTTGATAGTTAAATAGTCAATTTTTGAGTAAAAGACCCCCCCTACCCTCAATTAATATATTAAAAAGAAAGAGAAAAAAAAAATAAAAACAAAGAAAAGAGAAGGAAAAAGAATCCCCAACCCTATCCCAACATCATAACACCATCCCATCATCGCCACCAGAAACCGACTTTGCCCCCACTTCATTTTTAGATGGAAATCGTCATTTTGATAGCTAAATAGTCAATTTTTGAGTAGATGACCATCCTACCTTGATTAATATATTAAAAAGAAAGAGAAGAAAAACATAAAAACAAAGAAAAGGAAAAAGAATCCCCAACCCTATCCCAACATCATAACACCACCCCATCATGGCCACCAGAAACCGACTAATTTCATGACAAGACTGCACAAAATTGTTGCAATCAAACAAATGTGAAACTTGAAAACATAACTAAGATCAAAATGGATATAGATAAAAGAAGAAATGTACTTTCCATTTACCTCTATTCTTCTTTCTTCCCTTGTCAGGTACATAATGTGTTATTTATCTACAAATTGTACTAAATTTTATGTTCTCATATTTTTATTTATCTTTGAGTTAGTCTAAATCAGTTGTTATTAGTAGTTTTACTTTAGTTAGTTTAGGAGTTAGTTCGGGATAGGAAGTTAGTGGTCCTAAAAATTAGGGAAACATGATGATTTACTTGTATATATACCGAATAAAAGAACAAATCAAATGCCAATAAATTATAGAATTACCAATAACGGGAGGCCTATGTTTCCTTGAATTAATTCACTTTTCATCATTTTTCCTTTCAATTTGCTTATTCTTCATACGAACCATTTGTATTTGTAAGAACTGATACCAAAGCTAGAGAAAACATAAGGATAAAGTCTATTCATAGAGCAACGACTAGACCACATAGAGAGAATGATAGTCCTCGTTATTGATCATAATGCAATCCATAGCAAAATAAACGAGATGTAAAGATGTTGGAAGCAAAATTGGGATTGTTTTCAAATCAACCTACCAAAGGTGATGCTGGGAAATCTATAGCTTTGTTGTCTACTCAAAGCTTTTGTCAAAGTAGTGACATTGTAATCTTAGTGAATGCTCATGGAGTTGAACAGACATGCAATGAAGGGTATTCAGAGCCAACATAAAAATTGCAAAATCATTGCAATTCAAATTTTCAACAACTACACGATGTTGTTTTCGAGGGAGTGATAAAAGTGAAGAACTATTATGCATAAATTGTTATTGTGGGGATTAGTAAGCACAATGTTCTCGGGGAATGTCATCAATTGCTAAATGTTATGCAGTCATTTCCTCCAACCACCTAGTAATGGCAATTCATAAATGATGCAAAAACCAACTTGAAGATACTAGCAAAGATTCAAATATGAGTTCTTATTTAATTGGAAGGTTTAATGCACTTTACACTTGATCCTGAATTGGAAGCGAAGAAAAAAGGCTAAAATTATTGTCGAAATTCACCCTTTGAGGACAAGGTTTTTTTAAGAAAGTTGGAATGTCATGTATCCATAAATTGTAATAAATTTTATCTTTTCAATTTTTTTATTTATATATCTTTGACTTAGTCTAAATCAGTTGTCATTAGAAGTTTTAGTTTAGCTAGTTTAGGAGTTAGTGAGGCGTTGGAAGTTAGTTAGTGGTCCTAAATATTAGGGAAACATGTTGATTTTCTTTATTAATATCGAATCAAAGAATAAATAAAATGTTGAGATATTATTCTTATAAACTTGTTTGTAATTGGGAGACTTATTTGTTCCTCAAATTACCAATATCGGAAAGTCTGAGTTTCTTCAAATTAACCAAATTGGAAGGCTTAACAATATTTTGAGGTCCAAGTTTCCTCAAATTAATCCACTTTTCATCTTGTCTCCTTTTGTTTTGCTTACTCTTTGTTGCGAACCATTTGTGTTCATAACATAATGATATTGAATATCTAATTTTATAGAACTTCATTTTCACACTTCACAAACTAATTTTTGGTTTTCTCAATTCTACTATATTTCTGTTCATATTAGGTAAACTGGTTCTTTATAACTCTATCTTGATCATCTTAATTGGTTATATTTATCTTATCTAATTATTTCTTGATTTATTAGTTTTTCTCTAATCAATTGATTGCATATAAATATTATCAATTTTAAAAGCTTGATCGATTGCTTTGTTTTTTCCTTCTCAGCAAAAAGTGATCAATTGCTTTGTTGAAGTCAATGATAGTGGAATTTATTTATAACTTGCATTGATTTGTTGTTTCTAATATAAGCAAATTAGGAGCCATAATAGGTAAATTTAAGCTTCATGGTCAGAATAGCAAGGTTGTTTTGCTGAGTGAGTGGTGGTACGGTGTGGTAAGGGTGATGCTATGGTGTTTGGCGCAGCGTGGAGGAAGGTGAACTGTTCTTTTCTAGTTCTTTTTTTCTCCGTTTTTGTTTTTTATTAATGTTTTTGTTTCTGGTTTTTTTATGTTATTAAATTAAGGGTAGTATGGTCATTTTACCCGAAAATCGACTATTTAAGGGAATATGGCACTAATTTTATAGGTTTGGGAACCATAGTACCACATTTTAAAAGTCGAAACCCTAATGTTAAATCATTAAAAGGTTAGTACCCTACCAAAATTTACCATAACATGTAATATAATATACATTTCTTATTCATTATATAGGAACGAACCATCTTGCATCGAGTCTGTCACATATACTAGGGAGAAGAATGAAGTCGTAAAACAGAAACTTTGACAATTTGCAGTTTGGTCGTTCTTAAAAAATTTCTATTGTGGTGATGGCTATTAAAAAATTTGATTGGTAGACTTGTTTTAGTTAGTTTAGACTATTTAGCCAGTTTTCATTCTTATGTGATTGTATTTATGTTTTTTGGGTTGTGTTAATTTAGTGAGTTTTTGTGACCTTTGCATATAAATTTGAATCATTGATGTATAGTTGTAGTTGAGTATTTTAGAGTGTGTTTCACATGTAAAGAGCACGAGTGAGGTACTTAAGTTTGAGCAATAATTATTATTTGTTGCGGAGTTGCCGCATTTATTGTTATGATAGAGCATATATATAAAGAAAGCATTTGTAGTTTTTATTTTTAAGTTTTGATCGTATGTAAAATACAAAAAAAATATGAACAGGTCACACCTTCAGCGTGGATTGGGCAAGGTCCGCAATGGGGACCTTGTTTCCATCCTTAATTCTCTCTTCAAAACACTTTCCAAATTCTCCCTCTACTTTTATGCACGAATTTCAAACTATCTAGACATTCTCATAAAGCTAGATAAGTGTTGATGAGAATTTCTAATCGTTTAAACACACTCTTTCCTCTTTGCATGAATTTCGATACATCTACGCCTTCTCGTCAAACTAAATGAAGCTAATGAGAATTTCTAGCCCATCTAGACATTCTCCCTCTTCCTTTTTTGGACAAATTTCGCAACATCTAGGTAATCTTGTCAAACTAGGCACAGTTGAAACAAGTTTCTAGTTTTTTTAAACACTACTCTTCCTCGACAACTTTAGCCTAGTTTACCCATAAGAAATTTTGATGAAAGGGCACTATGTAACTAAAGTTACTTTTTCATGACTAAATGATCAAATTTGATAATTTTTTGACACTAGACAAATTTTATTTTGGCCAAAGAAAATTGACTTAGTTAAAAATTTTAAAAAATGGGGAGGAGTTGAAGGGAGGTGATAAATTACAACATAAAGGGTGGGAGTAGCAAGTAGGAAGTATTAGGTGTGGTGGATGGCAGTGGAGAAATAGTCAGTGAATATGTGAAGGGTGTAAAAAAGGAGTAAGAAGAGGCAGGGCCGACGGGTTGAGGTTGATGAAATGAGTGTGTGACTTGTGGGTGCTTAACTAGTATAAGCATTTTAATATACATATTCTTACTGCGAGCTCTTGAATGATAGATTAGTATAAGAAGTACCCATAGCTAATGTTCCGACGCAGGCAACTCCATATAAGTGCATGTAAACAAAAATAAAATTTGGTGCATAAGAATGTCTATGGAACAAACATATACAACAGTATAGTAAAAGAAGATGAAATACATAGAACTCACCTTTCCTGGTACATAGGATTTAGTAGATCGGAATCAAATCTGCGAACCTGGAAAGAACAGGTGCAAAGTTTATCGTAGAAGATCAACGCAAGGCACGAATTAAATGTTATATATCTTGCATATAAATATTGTGATCAAGTGAGAATGCTTATGAGTATCAATAATTTAACATCAGACGATGAAAATTATAAAAGGAAATCACCACATATTGACAGTATTCTGCTACATATATTAGATTTCTGATTTCTTTCAGATCATACCATAAACTCTAGATTCTACTAAGAAAAATTTATTTTGGTTACTGTACATAGAGGCTAGTTGGGACAAAATTCTAGTTGCTCCCAGAGCAGAGTACTGAACATGGAGTTCATCATTCAATCATCATTGCTATAAAGTCAACATTCAATAGACATATTGACAGTATTCTGCTACATATATTAGATTTCTGATTTCTTTCAGATCATACCATAAACTCTAGATTCTACTAAGAAAAATTTATTTTGGTTACTGTACATAGAGGCTAGTTGGGCCAAAATTCTAGTTGCTCCCAGAGCAGAGTACTGAACATGGAGTTCATCATTCAATCATCATTGCTATAAAGTCAACATTCAATAGGAGGAATATCACGAGGGCTTTATATTCAGAGTGTTTTTAATTAACTGAATAAAGTAACACAGTTTTGGAACTTCTATAGACAGCATAATTTGATCCATCAGCACACCATTTCTTTAAGGTTTAACATGCAACTTTTTATTCTCCACAACTGCAAGAACCTTTGGATCACCCTTTGTAATGACCCGGCCTCTATACCCAAACCGTTAATTTATGAAGTATATACTGTCCGCTCTAAGAGAACTGGAGTCCATCTTACCCTTCTGTCCCGTTCACAAGATTCGAATCCGTGATAGCCCCCTTAACAGATACTTAAGTTGAATTTTGGTACAAATTGAACAAGCCTCTAAGAGTGTTTGAGCTCATTTTACCCCTCAGAAATTTTTGTCGCGTCCCTAAAATTCAAACACTTAACTTTTCCCTTAAGAGTGATTTAAGTTAAATCTTAGTACCAATTGGGAAACTGAAAGGAGTGAGATGGGCTTAGGCTTTCTCAGAGCGGACAGGTCATAAGTTAACGACTTGGGTATAGAAAGAGCAGACGGTACTTAACGGCTAATGGCTTGGGCATAGAGGCCAGGTCATTACAAAAAACGTGCTTATTTTTGTAACGATCCAAGCCCTGTGCCCAACCATTTCACCCATTATGACTTTCTATCGCTTCTTCAGGATTCGAACCTATGACCTTTTCCTTAAGAGAGACTTAGGTTAAATCCTAGTACGGATTGTCAATTGATACCAAGATTCAAAAGGTCGGGTTTGAATCTTGGCGACGCAATAGAAATTCGTGAGAGATAAGATGAGCTCAGACTCTCCTAGAGCGGACAATACGTATCAAATTGGTACCAAAATTCAACTTAATTCTTTCTTAAGAGAATATCACGTGTTACAATCCTAAGGGAAGTGATAGAAAGCCGTGAGGGGTAAGACAAAAATTTCCCTCCTATGGCAGACAGTATGTAAGTTAAAAGCTTGGGCATAGAGGTTGGGTCTTACACCCTCTGCCAGATACTATGCTAAAGCTCCAGTGAATATAACCACACCTTCACCAACCAAATCATATTTTTCCTTTTCATAGTCAATCTCCCCTATTGTGGTCAACTTTTAAAGCTATTTACTTGACAATAAGTTGACTTAATTCCATTCAACACTCCACTGTTATTGTTTAGCTGTTCTTCCTCACCTACAGACTTTTTGTTGTTTAATTCATTAATATTCTCCCTTGAAGAATTCCTTTGGTTCCTCATCTTTTCAAAAAAGGCAGCTAATGAAGAGAACACAAACAGTCCTTGATATTGTTCGTAGAACTCTGTAGCCATCTTCGACTCAGTTGCAGCCTGAGCTTGGAAGAGGGCAAACGGAAGACAGCACAAGGACAAAAGAGAAGATACAGTGAGCTGCAAATCGTGTTTCGTAATCTGGGTGGACCATAGCTGAAAGTAATTGATGTAATAAAACCTCAGGAAAAGCCTTGTTTCGATAGGATAAATTTGGAATAGAAGCTACAATTTGAACTAAACAGCAAAAATATAACAAAAAACAGTAGTTCTGGCTATGACTAATGCTTGAGATGTTCTCTAACATCACAGCCATTACATCAAGGATTGGGTCTGCATCTCCAACCTTATATGATAACTCCGTGAGACTATTTTCTAATGCTTCATAAAACTTTCTTTTCTGTTTGATTGATTCCGCACCAAAATTTGCATTGTCAAGTGAATATTGTTTATTTTTCTGCATATGCCTCATAAATGACAAGTCACTGTAGCTATTGGTGACTGAACATTTGCAAGTCGAACAAGGGAAGTAGTAACCGTGACAATATCAACCTGCATTTCAGGTTGCTTCAGTATATTTTTATGANTAGCCATGTTGTGAAAGCATAATCTAGACTAAAAGCATGGATTCCTGGAATCTTCCATTGTCATATTAACTTCTCCTTTCTCGTTTACAATCATCATCCAAGAAAGAACAATCGTTGCAACTTCTGGTGAAGGAGTCATGCCCCTCAAATTTACATTTATTTTTTTTTTTAATGACCATGGGTGTCCGGGCCAACTTACACGCACCTCGACTAATCCCACGGCTCCTGAAGTTTACAGTCGGGTACTTACCTCAATAGCTCTGAAGAGACTCGAACAAATTTACAAACTTCTTGGGCCCAGTGGATTTCATTTGGGTCGTGAGAATCCTTATTCCACTGCAAATAATCTTGCTCATTACACGGACAATTTCTACATGACATGTCTTCATAAACAATGCATGGTTCGCTTTCTCATACTTAAGTCTGCTCTCGATAGAGGCCACTGGTGTTATTTTTAATTCTTCATGTTTCTCATCTTTTTACAACATCCTGTAATGCGTTCTTCAACACAAAATAACTAGTACGGGAACTCAAATCCACACTATTCATATTTTCCTTGTGCTTATTCAATTCAATGGCACAAAAACCGCAAAAAAGGTCAATGAAACTTTTATTCTCAATTTTCTAAGAAAAACACCGGCACAACTTTAGTGGGCTTTCAGGCACGACTAGGGGATGTTGATGGGGAATTGAATTCCCCAACTATTTAATAATAAAACCCATGAGAACAAAAGAAGGGAGTGTAAACCTAACCTTCCAAAAGCAATAAGATGGGACAATGTATAAAGAAATGTAGCCCCTGTTTGACGGCCATTGTTTTGAAAAAATGGAGTTTTGAATAGTGATTTTTTGAAAATATGTGGTTAAAAAGTAGGAAAAAGTCTCGAGTTTACGTACAAAAATTTTATTGTGTAAATATGTGGTTAAAAATGAGTATAAAAATTAAAGAATTTTATTTTATAGGGAGACAAATAGAGGGCAATAAGATAAATACTAGTTCTAATACAAAGCAAGTAAATGAAAATAAAATTAACATTTTCTAATACTAGGAAAACCATATCTATCAATCTATACAAGAGCTCAAAGACATTGTGGAAGATTTAAGGGGCATACTCGTGATAGTATCGTTGATCCCACCCTCAAATGCAAGTGAATCGGCAACCTGGTTTCCCTCACAATAAGTGTAGAAAAAAGTATCATGATCAATAGAGAGATTGTATCTAATCTATCTAAGAATAATCGAGTCGTCCATGGACCTCTACCCCTGAAGGGCCACAAACGAGTTGATCTCCACCTAAATGACTAGCAAGTAAAATTCACTCTAAGATAGCTCGTATCTCAGCCTCAAGAATAAGGCATTTCAAAGCCCCAACCAGCTATGTAGATTTTTTTCAAAATGGAATACCCCCATGGCTACCCCTATTTACATCATGGTCGAGGCAAGAGAGAAGAAGAGTATCCGCCATCAACATGACCACACCCACCTCCCTTATACTATGGAAGTCAGTCACTACATCCCTTTTATGGAGAAAATGCTCCACCGCCTTCCCATCACAATGAAAATCGGCCACCACCTCATTATGAAGAAAATGAGCTACCACCTCCTCCATCACCGCAAGTCAGCAATGTTTATCATAACTCCCATATAGGGAGAGCAAAGTATCCTCCGCTTTCTCCAATTGTCTCTCATCAAAGAAAAATAATTCTGCATCACCATTACCATCCCCATCTCCACCTTCCTTCGTTTGTCCATCACCATAGCCACCACAACTCAAAATTCTGGGTTTATTCTAAGGTGGAGACAAACTACTCTTTGACCATCCAGGATGGAAAGGTTATCCTTGCCCCTTCCACTCCATCAAACCCACTTTAGCACTAGGTTAAAGATGAGAAAGCACAAGAGTCAAAAATGAAAGAGAGGTTTCCTAGCTTTGCATTAATTAATAAAGCCACTAGTGAGGCCATGAAGCGCTCAATTGGTGCCACCCATCTTATGCAATTGATTCCTCACAATTCTGATGGTCTTGATGAGTCAATTTTGTGGACAGAGAGCAGAGACTTGGGCAATGGTTACAGAACAATAAGTATGGTTAATAATATTTGCCTAAATGCAAATGCTTTTAATGGAGATAAAAATCATGGTGGCGTTCATGATGGCACTACTATTGTTCTTTGGGAATGGAAAATGGGAGACAATCAGCGCTGGAAGATTGCTCCTTACTGATATGTAGACCTGTCTTTTTAGCTGTGTTGATTGCTCTAGCTGGTGGGAGATGGGAGTTCCCTCATTCAGAGGCCTTTCTCGTTATTTATGTTGGTAATAATAATGTGATGTAGAGCTTCAACTGCACTTGGTATATTTGATTTGATACCCAGAATATGTTGCTATTGTGTTTAGGTGTAGTAATTATAATAAACTTTAGGCTAAAAAAAGAATTAACCATCTCTATAAGATGACGAGAAAGCTTTAACACTAAAATTAGCGTGATCCCGAATAATGCCTCCACCACTACTGACTCTATCTTTAACACATCCATTGCTGTTTCTCTTGTAAGATTACGCCGATGGAGTACGCAAAAGACCAAAATAGGGGTGCTGAGGGAGGATGAGTAAACAAAACACCAAAGAGAGGTGAGAGGCCGGAATAAGCAACCCAAATGAAACTGTAAAATCATGAGGTAAACTCTCCAAATGATCCGTCAAGGATCCATGCAAATTTCATTATGCTTAGCATCATTCCTCGCAAGCCATAAGAACCTAAAAATCAATAGAAGAATGATATTGTAAATGTGTCCATTACGAATATACTTCCCCGAATACCTCCATCTCTAGAATAGGGATCTAACTCCCTCATTTGACCATATTGAAACCTTGAAGTTATCTCCAAAATGATTCCATACCTAATCAGAGATGATTCTACCAGTGAAGATGTGTGAATTAGTCTCGCACCGACAACAGGAGATCAAATGATAGGCTATCTTCCTATGAATGACTGTATCAACTCGTATCAAATCAAGAAGCTGTGATAGGAATAATGGAACTCCACATTTGACTCATTCGTGATTGGAAAGTTTAAGTCTCTTTTTCTATTGTTGGACAATTCTGAACTTCAATTTGCTCATCATTAGTGTGCGGCTCGATCTTCGGGTAATTAATTGCAATTTCACCAAAATGTTTTCCATCCTTACACTTGTTATAATTGTCAATGTCTAAGGATAAAGGATGAATAGATTTCAAGTTTTCAACTTACACATACTTTTCGTTTTTTATTGCGGTTTCATCATAGGTAACATCCTGATCATCTTGAATGACATATTTTTAACCTCATCATCTAACTTATAAATCTTTTGCTCTTTGTTTTCACGGATATTCGCACATTACTCATCACATGACAATAGGATAATCTTATCATATCACCAAAATGCATACATGCTATCTCAGCATATGTAAGTGGCATCTACATCGTACTAACATAATTGTTCCAGAGCACATGACAATCATCCATCTCTATCACTTTATACACAACCTCATCTTTGTAGTACTTTTCAATAAAAAGCAAAATTTTGCATACCTCTATATTTCAAATTTCTTGCCCCCTTCTATCTTCTTAAACTTAAAAGTAAGATGAGACTTCTTTAGTTTTCAAACTTAAAGCCTTCAACAATGCTTGCACATTTTGTTAACGATGGTGCGTCGTGTTCTAAAAATCTAGTCACGCTTCAGATAGGGCTCATTTATATCTCCTCGGTAGACTTTCACAAAGTAATTGATGGCTTGTGGGTATTGAAACACTGCTGGAACTCAAGAAAATTCTATAGTCACCATAGATGGCCATCAATTAATGGCAATATTGCTTTGGTACCAATTTTGGCAAGAAATTAGAATTTGTGAAACAAAAATAAAGTTGAAAAATTAGAAACCATGTAGATAATAATTTTATTGTATTGAATTGATTATTGAGAAGTGTACAAAGCGTTATTAAATATTCCCTAATCTTACTAGTATAACAAAACTAAAATAAAATCTCAAAACGAGAGAGAAGTAAACTTAAATAACAAAGAAAAACCAATCCTATTTAGAGTAGGATTGTCCTACATCAGTTTATCTATCCCAACTGATAGGGAGAGAGGAAAAAGAGTAGATGTGAGGAAGGCTTATTTATTATTTCTACAACACTATCGAGTAAAAAGATGCTTGGAGAATATCAGATTAGTGGAGCAATAGGGCTATATTCGGTGGCATATTTATACAAATAGAGAGAGAGAGAGAGAGAGAGAGAGAGAGAGAGAGAGAGAGAGATGAGATATAATACCACAGCAATCACTAAATTTCCAGGGGATACCGCTAGACCAAAGCAAGAATCAAATGCATTGGGAACCTGCAGATAATTTCTTATTTCTTGTTGGTAAAATGTACATATATATAAATGCATATTTTAGAAAATAATAAAAGTCGTGTCATACATCAGTGGAGCACTTCACACCAGGCGTATTTGAAGGAATTGGAACTTCATACAGACAGTTTCCATGTAAACACCAGCTCCTTATAGAGTTGTCCTGTAATTGTAAAAAAGAATTCACTCATGATTGCAAAAATTTCTTCATTGAGTCCATTACAAGGCCTTCTCAATACAATTATCAACTATTGATAGCCTAGCAGAATGCATAAGCTAATTCCCAAATAATAGATTATTATATGCCTTGTCCATTCAACTAGACAGGCTGTCAGCATTATCTAGAAAATCTAGCCAATATAACTAAAACCTAATTGGTGGCAAAATAAATTGAAACTTCAAACCATTAGAAATTATAATAATGATATGACAAAAAGATTCCAAAATTTTAGAATGAACAACTTGAAGCCCAATTGCTTCTTTCAGCTGTAACTTTGTTTAATGTATGATATATTTTTAAGGTGGGCTTCAGGGGAAAATAAACACAGAAAACGTAATCAGCGAAAAAAATTTCATACAAAGTTCACTTTTACACAAGGGGGACACACAGAGGATCAAGTTACTGATATAAATATCTTAATCAATTCAATCCTCTATCATCAGGACGTCAAAATGCCAATTGGTTCAAATCACAGAGATAAGCAAGCAAAATCTTAAGCAGACCAAATGAATATGTATCGTATACTAACATGAATACATGAACTTAAATTTTAATACCAAAAAAAATTTCATACAAAGTTCACTTTTACACAAGGGGGACACACAGAGGATCAAGTTACTGATATAAATATCTTAATCAATTCAATCCTCTATCATCAGGACGTCAAAATGCCAATTGGTTCAAATCACTGAGATAAGCAAGCAAAATCTTAAGCAGACCAAATGAATATGTATCGTATACTAACATGAATACATGAACTTAAATTTTAATACCTGACTGCAGCTGTACAAAGAACGCCCATCAAAAGCCCAGGCTAAACCCATAACCTGGATGGAAATCATATTACAAGTTAATTGTCATCACTGAGGCAAAAGACCTATGAGTATCGAGGGCTTACAATGTGGTCATGTGCATCATAAAAACCAACTTTTTCGAATTTTCTGGTAGGGATATCACATATCCATACTTCAAATTTTCCAGATCCTTTGCCAATAGCCAATGGCATTTTCTGTGGTGATTGCACAGGTACAATAAGTGATAGAATAGAGACTGTGATAGAATCAACTTCCATAACCTGATAACATAAACAATTGCAAGTTAAAATATTAGCAGTAGATTGGATTCCTTCAGTTTCTATACATCACAACAGAGATCTTTGGCATGATATGCAGACCTCCTTCAACAGAAAGAAGGAAGCATAATTAACTTTCGATGACTTCATCATTTCTTCGCCACTTGCCTGCCAGATCTTCACACTACATGAAGAATAAGAAACAAATTACTAATTCAAAGTATACTTTGAACACCTAACTTTTGAGGGGTTCCAAAGGAGAATGATAATCTACTCCAGATACAAGCATATAAACGTAATATAGGAAAGATGATTTAGGTTTAATTCTCAATTCTATTATGAAATACTTGAGGAAAATGCAATATCCGAGTTCTACAACCACTTAATTGTAGCTGGAGAATCATTCCCTGAAAGTTACAACTATTATGGGTCCCACATGTGGCAGAAATATTTATTCAATTGCACCACTGTGCA